CTCACTTGTTTGATTTTTTTTCCCTAAGAGTCTGAATTCAATAGGGTTCATAGCCTAACTCTCTAAGGCACACCAAAAAACTTACCTGTTGGCTTATGAGGCAGGCAAACATTACAGTCATTTTGCTCATAAAGCAGTTTACATGCATACATGCCATGCCAAACACAGTAAAAGGCATCCACCACTCAGTAAACCATCTCATAATAAATAAACAACTTGTATCTTAGAAAGTAAAGCAGGATCCCCAGAGTTGAATTAACACTTAAAAGTTCAAAAATATACAAATATACATTGTAAGAGGTAACTGAACACTGGGGACTGGGGACTCTTCACGTACTACAGTGTAATACTGTGTGTTAATGTAGAAACCCCTCCTCATATTTGCCTTTAATATACATTTAGCACAAAAGTACACCCTGTATACTGACCTGAGTTCTTTTGGTGGTATAGAATAATGAAGGTTTTAGTTGATAATTTTCTATTGATCATGTTGCTGAAGTGGCAGGAACAAACTGTGCACCAAACTTGGGGTGAACAAACTGTGTTTAGCCCTAGGTTTAGCCTCTTAATCCGCAAGAGTAATTACATAGTAGTTGCATAGTAGTTATATAACAATAATTGTTATTGCAGAATACCTCACAGTAGTTACTAGGGCTGCACAATGTGGACAAAATATTAATATTATGAAAGTATTATACTATAATAATTTACTTTTGTTTCATTACATTAAAACATTCGCAGAACATTCTTCTGGAACTGTGGTTAGTCAGGGGTTTTACGCAAGTTATAGGCTGGACACACTAAGTTTTATGGGCTGTACGCAAAAATAATACAGGCTGTACACTCAAAATTTTTACTGTCTGTTTGCACAAGGTTATATGGGTAATGCACACAAAGTTATATGTGTAAAGTTTTCTGGGCTGTACACACAAAGTTACATATACACGGTAATACAGGCTGTACACACAAAGTTTTACACACAAAGGTATACATACAATGTTATACAGGCTGTACACACAAAGTTACACAGGCTGTATGCACAAAGATATACAGGCTGTACACGCAAAGTTATACACATACTTACACAGGCTTGACACACAAAGCTATACGGACTGTACACAGAAAGATATATTAGCTGTGTACACAAAGTTACATGATCTGTGTGCATAAAGATATAGGGCCTCTCCTCACTAAGTTATACACGCAAAGTTATATAGGCTGTACACCCAAAATTATATGAGCTGTACGCACAAAGATATACTGGCTGTATAGGCAAAGTTATATGCGTTGTACATACATAGGTATCCATGCTGTACACACAAACTTATACGAGCTGTACACAGAAAGTTATACAGGCTTTACGCAAGTTATACGGGCTGTAAGCACAAAGTTATATGGGCTGTATGTAAAAAGTTATACGGGCTGTAAGCACAAAGTTATACAGGCTGTATGTACAAAGTTACACGGCTGTACAAACAAAGTTATACGGGCTGTATGCACAAAGTTATATGAGCTGTAGGCACAAAGTTATATGAGCTGTAGGCACCAAGTTATACAGGCTGTATGCACAAAGTTATAGAGGCTGTATGTACAAAGTTACATGGGCTGTACACACAAAGTTACATGAGCTGTACGCACAAAGTTATATGAGCTGTACACACAAAGTTATATGAGCTGTAGGCACCAAGTTATATGGGCTGTATGCACAAAGTTATACGGGCTGTATGTACAAAGTTACATGGGCTGTACACACAAAGTTATATGGGCTGTATCCACAAAACTTTGCATAAAGTTATATAGGCTGTACACACAAAGTTATACGGGCTGTGTGAAAAGTTACATGAGCTGTACACACAAAGTTATATGAGCTGTGAGCACAAAGATATACTGGCTATATATAAGTTATATATGTTATAGGTGCCCTATGCAGAAAGTAATACAGGCTGTACACACAAAGTTATATAGGCTGTACACACAAAGGTGTATGGTCTGTACACACAAAATTACACGGGCTGTACGCCATAAGTTATATGAGCTGCACTCTCAATGGAAAGTTGCTAAAGCCTGCTTGAAAAGTCACTAAATGTCATAATTAGCATATTTGTGATGTCATCACATCTTATTTGCATTCTGCCTAGCATCTGTAAATTTGCTTAGATGAGCCAGATACTCATGGATGTAAAATAAACCATAAGGTTTATTAAAAGAAGACAGTAGGGTTAACACCAAAACAAGAATAGCCAAACATGGTACATAGGAACAGACAAGAAGAGGAACGAGTAAAAAGGTGAGGGTCTGAACCAAAAAGCAAACCAACCGGTAACCTTAGCCAAAGGGGTAAATCCGAGAATCAACAACAGTCAAAACTGTGTCATAACAAGAGAACAAACTACAGACAAAAGACTCGGTACGCACTGGCAAAATATGTCGCAATGAGACAGACAGGTATATATGCAACAGCAAACAAGTGAAAACAATTAGAATTCAGGTGACTGGGATCTGCTGACTGACTGATGATTGAATGGCTGGGTCATGTGCCTGACTGATGCATCTTGGGAAATGGAGTTCGTAAGATAGAGAGAGTCTGTTTAAGAGCTGGAAAGCTTAACAGTATCAGATCGCATCTGCCCTTGACATGTGGTTGCTTCTCTCCTGCTCTCTGTGCTCACATACTGTATTTTAATACAGTGGAATTCCCAATAAAGCTGCTCTCATTTACAGATATTTTTGCTTCTGTTGTCAGACAACCGGCTGAGTATGAAATAATGACTGAAACGCGGCCACATGTTAACCAGCAGACACTTCCAAGCCATTTCCAAGCTCCTGCTCTGCACTGCGAAAATTCAGATTTTATAACCGTGATGTCATCTGACAAAATCCTCGTACACACCATTTAAAGACGATGGCTGTGCTGTGATTTTGGCTATATTTGCCTGTGAAATGATCACGCAGAGAGAAAGTCAGAATATTCTGATTTTTTTCTCTCACACAGCGCACAGCCTGCATCTGGGTAATAAACCACAAGAAGGATGTTCCGTTTTCAGTGTGATAGTGAGTGATAAGACAGTGATAATGGTACAACATACAAATGAAACTGTTTAGAATAATGGAGAAGCACTACAGATTAGAGATTACAGAGTAGACGCAGAGAGAGGTGGGCCTCTCGCTCACTCGGCAGTACTGGCCACTCTCTTCTGGAAAATACTTCTCTAGGAAGTAGTTATGGTTTCTAGAAAGTAGGTAAGCTTTGGCCAAAAAGTCTTTCGATTTGTTGCTAAAGGGGTCGGAAAAGTTGTTAAACCTAATGACAAAGTCACTAAATTGGCAACATTGTATATGGGCTGTACACAAAGTTGTATGGGCTGCACGCACAAACTTATATGGGCTGTACACACAAAGTTATACACAAAGTTATATGGTCTGTATACACAAAGAAATACGCGCTGTAAAAGTTATACGGGCTGTAAGCACGAAGTTATATGGGCTGTAAGCACAAAGTTGTATGGGCAGCACATACAAAATTATACGGGCTGTATGCACAAAGTTATACGAGCTGTAAGTTATACAGGCTTGTACTCTGAGCTCCTATATAATCTCATACTCATAAGCACAAGAATGAGAATGCTTAAACTACAAAGGATACATCCAAGTATATATATGTAGTCTATATATCCGTCTCAAGTGATACAGCCCCAGCATAGCCACTGTGTGAAGAAAGGCCTACCCAATCAAATGAGGGCAGAATATTTTTTAAGATGAATTTTTAATGATAATGAATCGTGTTGCTGTCTGCCATTGCTTTAAGCCTTCAGTTCATTTTTACATGCCAGTTTTTGAATTTGAAGCTTCAGTTGCAGTTAAAAGGTGGGGATAGTAAAAAGTATATCTCTCCCCTAAAATATACAGTTTTCTACCCATTCAAAGCCGAAGACATATGTAAAAAAACGTTGCCTTCAGTTTGTTATCATGCATCAGTTTTTGAATTTGAAGCTCCACATGTGGTTAGAAGATGGGGACCATATGTCTGTCCTTTAACCCCTTAAATGGCCAGGGCCCACCCAGAGTTTTATTACACACTTCTATAATCTAAGAATAGCTCAGCCAGTTTGCCTTGAAGTCCCTGCATTTACTGAGTAATAAGCCTTAGTATGTAATAAGCCTGGGATTTTAAAGTGGTTAAGTTTGCTGTGTTGTTTTTCTTCACCTTTGCACATCTAAGCCTAATTTTAACTCTCATATTATGTCCTTTGAGTTGCCCAAGGTGGCAGGAACCTAGGTTGTAAAATGTCCTAAGGTGTTCATACTCAAGGTAAGAAATGTATAGATGACATTTAAACATAGAACAAATGTTGTCATTATTTTATTATTTTTTCTTTGATTTATCATTTAATATTATTCCACAGTCTCACTTAGCATGTAACAGTAAGGCTATACATGTTTAATTCTTTTACCACAGCATGTTATTGGGCTTTTGACGGAAAGAACAGTAATTCTGAGTAAAAATCAGAAAAAATTCAAAAACTTGAGGACATTTGAGGAGGGGCTTATGCAATGGCCACACCCACATTACATGACAACTTTGTTTCTGAAGTTGCTTATAAGATTTTTATATGACTTTTATATATATGAGCAAAAACAGTCAGTTTATTTATAATTAGTTTGGTAGAATCAAGACATTTTAATATGTAAAATATTCAAATTGAACCGAATGTTGACATCAGAACTGAAATCATATCAAACTTGCAAATATTGTTACACGCCTAATAATTCATACCCTATATATTGTGCAGCCTTAGTAGCCTTACTTAATAATAAAGTCAATAAACGCATAATAAGCTTGAAGTTTAAGGGTTAATAAAGGGGGTTCAGGGTAAGTGTAGCTATCGCTCCCTTTCCATAATTGTTATGATCCCACAGCAAAATTGACCTAACGCATGCACTGAATCCCTGAGTAAAGAACCATAAAGATCATGAAGTTGGCTCACTGCCAGCCAACTCACCGGCCGTGGACCTGATGGTGGAGGTGACGGTGGATGAGGTCATGGAGGGCACACAGTCGTCGTCCTGCGAGTAGCCAGCCTGGATGGCCCGTAGGTAGCTGTGGCTGCGTGTGCGGAAGCAGCCAGGCAGGTCCAGCGCCTCCATGGCCTGTGACTCCACCTCACTGAACACGGACTCGCAGACCGACTCGAATTGACCATTTATCTCCGTCTCGCTCACCTGGACCAAGGAGAGAGATAAAACTTTAGAAAACAGCCTTTTCTCCTTCCTGCCTTCTTTCATCCTCCCTATCTTCCTCCTTCTCTTCTCCTTCTCCTGTCACGTCTAGAAATATCATTTCACTATAGAATTGATTTGCATAAATATTTATATGCAATTACACAGTAATATAATGAACTACATTAAATACATTCTATACTGACAGGTTCGAGGCTGCACTTCTTCTCTTATGCTTACAATCACAAATCTGGTATGGACTGAACATAAGAGTGCATGATGAGTCATACTGGTATCAGCGCATAATTGCTTAAGCACAGATGATCGGCACTGGACAGATGGTTACATTTTTCCGATTGCAAAAATTGATATTTGATGATGCATTTTTGCATTTCAGAAGAGAAGAATGTTTAGGCCACTACACTTTAATATATGCATTTAATTGATCTTAGTGCAACGTAATAGAAATAAATGTTGTATTTCTCTTTAATGCTAATGCAAGTATATTTAGTCTCATTTTCTACATATTATAGTTTCTGTATCGATATCATCAGATACGTACAAGACAAATATTGGCCTACAATTACCATATATCACCACATGGGTCTGGAAATACTTTGACAAACCGTTGTCAATAAACGCTGTTCATCGGTGCATCCAGAAATGCATTTTAAGACTACACTATGCACAGTGGAAGCCATATATCATACACATCCAGAAACACCGCCGATTTCTCTGGACTTGAATTCATCTGAAATGCACCGATACACAATGGAAACATGTACTGTGGTCTGATGAGTTAACTTTTCAGATCTTTTATGTAAATAATGGATATCATGTTCATAAGCTATGGTTTGTCATGAGACTGGGAGATAGTACATCTTTGAATGCTCTACGATGCTGAAGACATTTTTGAGCACCAAAACTGCCTTCTAGACTACATCTTTTTCAGTGTCCTCAAGTTAAGTTAACTCAAGAGAAGTTGGGTAATCAGTTACTTTAGAATTTTCAGCTGATCTGACTTCTCATTTTTTACAATGCAACCGTATGTGATTTTTTTCTTTTTATCAGCTTTTCCCCAAACTTAGTCATATCCAGTTTTCCACTAGCTAGGTCTTCCCATCACATGATGCTAAGGATAGGCATATTTAGTCAAATTCGATATCAAATTTTTCATGCCATTACTCGAGTAATATTGATGAGAACCTTGATGTTTCCAGAGGAGACATCCGAAAGGTTTTGTGTTGTGATACTTTAGATACTTTAGTTTAGTAGCCTTTAGACACCGTAGCACCGGAACAGAGCTATTTTATTTTGTGTCTCAAAATCAAATAATAAAAGTCTTTTATGAAATTGTGTTTTTTGGGCTATATTTGCAACAAAAAACTGTGACATCATAGTTAACTGGGTTATGTTACGCTGCCTTTGAATGGGAGACTTATTTGAGCAAGCTGGGCACTTTCCCTAAATTGGTGATGAAATTCATCTCCCGTGCTTGACCGATACCTGCTGAGGTAATCGGAAAGTTCTCTGACACGCACCTCCAAGAGAGAGGGATGTCAATTAAGTCGAGCTGAAATAGCTTGATGGGTATCTGTATGCCCCCCCAGAGAGATTTCCATTTGGCAATCTACAAAATCTCAGATTGCTATCTTGTTCCACCACAAAAAGGTATTATCCTTTAACGACCTCAGCGGCACAAATGTAGCGAGAGAGCCGAGGCGGAGAGAGGAAGGAAGAGTGGCAGAAAAAGAGGGAATGAAACTCATCGTTATGACTTCACACAAAATCAATACAATCCATTTCCAGAGTGGGATTTAGATTTTAACAACAGATAAATCAGACCACTAACACGCACATAAGAACCAACGTGGCGGTGGTGGGCAAATGCAGCAGGCTGACTTTTATAGAGTCTTTCTGTTGCTTTTAAAAGCCACCTTAAGTCTCCAGCTTAGTACATGATACAATGTAGTGTCTTGGTTTCAACATTACGATATGTTATCAGTTCACTTTAAACAGGCAAGCCTGAATACCACAACTGGATGCCCATGACCCTCAACACCTCGAACAGCACTGCATTAAAAACTGGCATGCTTCTGGGATGATATCACCACATGGGCTCAGGAATATTAATAAATAAACAATAAACATCATCTGTCACTGCATCCACAAAGGCAAGTTAAGACTGCACTATGGATAGTGGACGCTATGTTAACAGCATCCAGAAACACTGCTGACTTCTCTAGGCTCAACTCATCTGAAATGGGCTGATGCACAGTGGAAACATGTATTAACATCTGACAAGTCCATCTTTCAAACTGTTTATAGAAATAATGGATGTCATGTTCTACAGCATAAAGTTCAAAGGACAACGTCTGTCATGGTATGGTTCGTATCGTAGGGTAACTTGCACATCTGTGAAGACACTATAATGCTAAAGACAGCATGTACTACCTTCTAGATGAGGTATTTTTCAGGGACATTCATTTCAAAATGACAACGCCCAGAAACATTCTGCACGTTACAACAGCATGACTATGTAATCAGTGTGGGAGCAAGACTGGCCTCCTATCTCCTACTGAAATTGTGCATCTTATTAAGCTCAGAATAAGACACAGAAGATGTATGGTTATATAGCTGAAGACTTGAATAACAGAAAAATCGCAAAAAAAATCTGCTTTCAGAACTGGATCTGTTTGTGTCTTCAGTCCACAAATGATTATCAAGTTCTGCTAAAAGGTAAGATAATGTAACACAGTGGTAAACATGCTCCAGTCCTACCTTTTTTGGAATGTGTTGCAGGCTTCAAATTTGCTATGAGTGTATATTTACAAAAAAAGTTCAAGGTAAAATCTAAAATAAAATTGTTTTTTTGAACCACATTTAATTTAATACAGGTCAAACAGAATTTACTAGTCACTGTTTTCTGGTTTTATTAGCTATTCACATATTGTCCAATTTACATTTTTTTGGAATTGGGTTTGTGTTTTCACTTCTAAACACATGTACTTTGCCTCAGGGAGCTGTTCAAAGTCTTGCATGTACTCCAGCATGATACTGGGGTGGATCTCCCTCGAAGCCTGTAGCTAAACAAATCCTTTCACTTTATATATGCTCAGTTTGTAACTACAAACAACAACAAGCATTTGTGAGATCCTGCTGGTGTGGGTTTCCTCTCTTTCAATTATGCACGCAAAAGTGACTACAGTACTAATAGCTCCCCCTTGTGAACTCATTAAAATTGTGAACTAATCAGTAAGTCGATTCATCAAGAATGTAAATTTGAATTTATTTTTTGAAAATTATGTAATTGATTTTAAGCAAGTACTCTCAAGCAGCTTCATGAGGAGAAGATATGCATATGCTGAGATATTTTTGGCTGCTGAAAACTACTTTTTCATAGGTTTTAGCATCAATTTCACTACGTATATTTGTCTTAGAAACAAATGAAAGTATAACAAAAATAGTTTTGGTCCAACTGACACATTGTGCAGCTACTGATAGAACTGGAGGGGCAAAGCCATAAAACGAGACATCAATCAATGGTAAACACTAACAGTAAGAGCATGTTCAACCACACATCCAAGACTTGTGAAGAATGAGCTTCATGAAGGATTCCAGGTGACCAGACCAGAGAAGTGGACTCACCTGGCTGACCTGGCTGACACAGCTGGCCTGGCTCAGGGTGCTGACCGCCCTCATGTAGCTCTGGTTGCGAGAGCGGAACTTGGGCGAGTTGTAATTGGGCGAGGGGTCCAGCGTGATACTGGGGTGGATCTCCCTCGAAGCCTGCAGGTGGTAGCTCTGACTAAACAGATAGAGAAAGAAGGAGAGAAAAGGATGGGGGCAGGGTGAAAGAAAGAGAAATTAATATAAATATATTGAATAAACATAAACAGGTCCTTGCTCTGCTAACAAATGCATTCTTTCACATCTACTGTTGCTTTACAGAACAATGGCAAAATCCCATTCAACCCAGGAAAGGGCCTTCCTCAAACTGTTGGAACAAAGTTGGAAGCATAAAAAATGTCTAAAATGTCTTTGTATGCTGAAGTATTAACATCACCCTTCACTGGAACAAAGAGGCACTGAAAAAAGCCCCAGACCATTATCCCTCCTCCACCAAACTTTACGTTTGGCAGTATGTATTCTGGTTGGTAGCATTCCCCCGGCATCCACCAAACACAGATTCTTCCATCAGACTGCCAGATAACAAAGCTTGAATCATCACATATATATATTCCATACAAGCTTCAAATATCCTTGAAAAAGGTTCATGTGCATCAGTGTTAGTTTAGCACTAACATACCACTAGAAAACCCATAGGGGCGCTAGCAGAAATTATCATCGTTTATCAACAGTAGCTATGAAACAACATATTTGTGGGAGGAGCATAGACAGGTCAATTATCCCCTCTTTTTTATACCATTATAAGAGATTGACATATTGTAGATATTCTACTACTACACTTATAAGGCCTTGTGTTACCAACGCTAAAGGAACAGAGACACAGCAACTCTGAGGTGCTGATAGCTCGCTGTTAACAGCTCTCCATTTCTCTGTCCAATCATCGACATGTCCAGGACCAGCCTAAAAATAGCTCTTCGATTGGGCATTGTGCTGAAGCATCCAATCGATAGAGGGAAATGAAGGAAAATGCAAATCAGTGGCTCGTTAGAGGGCCAATCATGCTGAGAAGGAGAGAAAGAGGCTGAGAAAGTGTGTTCGATACTCCCCGAATCCTCAGACACTAACGGAGTAATGAGCTGACCGTTCACCTAGTGGATCTCAGACTACGAAGCAGACTGATAGCAAAACAGAACACAATCCTGGTCACTACTTTTTGAGGAGGGTTTTTGTCATGGTACACTGGCTTCAAGGATGGGTATAGATTGCGTAAGTTGGTGGTCAGTTTATATGAAATGTACCTATCCATGCTCCACCCACAAATGTGTTCTTTTGTAGTTACTGTTGGGAGGCTGGACAAGCTTTCCAGAGTGTAAGCAAGCTAATGAGAAATTTCGATATTTGCAAAATACTTAAAATGTCCAAAAGTCTGTAGAGATCATTCAACGTTTCTTCTAAAATCAAGAGTATTAACAGGGAGTTTGCCCCACTTTATTGCAGTAACAGCCTCTACTCTTTTGGAAAGGCTTTACATTAAATGCTGAAACCTTGCTGTGAGGATTTGATTGCATTCAGCCATTAGTGGGGTTAGGTCTTGCTATTGGATGATCAGTTCTGGACACTCCAATCATCCCAAAGTTACTGAATGGAGACCCATTATGCCAGAGAATGAAGATCCACTGCTTCACAGCCCAATGCTGGAGGGCTTTATATCCCTCTAGCCCACACTTGGCACTGGACATGGCAAACTTAGGACCATGTGCAACTGCTCCAGAGCAATGGAGGTTATACAAGCTGAGTGCAATGGAACTCCTGAGCTGGCAACGGGTGCAAAAGAACCAGAATTTATTCATTTGAAGGTGTCTACAAACCTTTGGACACAAAGTGCATATTATTTACGTGTTCCTGAGTGGCTCAACCGTTGACCTGAATGTTGGGTGATGATGAGTTCCATCCCCAGCGATGCCACAGCCATCCATGCCTGGGAGTCTAACTCTGCATTCACACTGACAGCAACGGGACGTGACAAGGTGGCCAGAGGTCGTTCATTTTGAACAAGAACAGGCGACTTCCGGCGATAGGACGTAGCGCAAACGTGGGCAACACAAAGTGGGCGAAGTCAGCGACGCAACAAAGAACTGGACTTCAACTCAGTGCATATAAGGAGCGAAGCGACGTGGCAACTACCAATAGGAATTGAGCATTGAACAGCATATTATGCACCTTATCTCCGCCGCTGTGGAACAGTATGCTCCTTTTTGGGTTCCTAGATAACTGTTCCTACTACAGATGGAATACTGGTGGTGGTGCTTTCACCACAAATAGATGGTAATCGCAAAGACCAAATACTGTTTTCCTCACATACTGACTGCACAAGGAGTTTTATTTTTACAGGGAATGCATCTGATTTGTACTTGGTATCAATGAAACCATGGCAAATAAAGGTCAGTTTGAGTTCAGAAATGCCCACAGGCGATGAGCGATCAGTGATTTGGGCAACAAGAGGTGAAAAGTCACTGCCGGTGTGAACGCAGGGTAAGAGAGCTAAGTTGGGCTCGCTCTTTCAGATTTGGGTAGGATGGTCCTCCCTCTCCTCCCATCACTCAGCGCAATGCTAGCCAACACTGATGTAACAGAATTGGTAGTTTTCCTCCAAGTGTGCTCAGCTGCCCAATAATGCTGCGTTAGCGACAGTTCATAAAGAGTGCTTCTCGTGCCTCGGAGGAAGCACAGACTAGCCTTCACCTTCCCTGATGGGTAGCATTGTGTGATAGGAGATCTAATAGGGGAAAACTGGGTAAATGTTTAGCACGTTCTCAAATTCAAATTATTTTTTTTGCTGTATAATTGAGGTTAAGGAAAACATTCAGCTGTTTTAGTGTTGCCAGTCAGTTAACATCACAGGCTGTAGCACTAGTCAGTTAACATCACAGGCTATAGCACTAGCATGGCTGAAGTTACTTTGGCAACTTTTCTCCACAATACTTGCCAAATTCACTGACACTGTGGTGGAAATGTACCGTGTAGATCCCGATGACAAAATGCTTGCCGGAACTGTAAGCTAAGATTGCACGACACATTCTGACCCAGAGTTGTGCTACAAATTCTCTTTAGGTTAAATGGGAATTTTATCAACATTCTGTAAAAACACAGAACAGTAGCTAGGAAAGAAAACATTCTTGAGCTGAAAACAGATGATCACGTAAGCTCTAAAGTCAGACTGACCAGAGCCTCAAAGATCCAGATATGCATAGTTTTAGGTGTACATGAAATGCAAACAGTCTAACAAGATAAAGTGAACAAAATAGGAACATGAACAAACATGAACATCACTAACATCAGTATTACAGCACCATCATGATGTTATGAATAGCTTTGCTCCTTCTTAAGCATTTCTATAGTTCTAGGAACAGATATTCACTGACCAACCACTTCATTGCTTTGTTAGCCCCCTTTTACTCTGTTCTTCAATGGTCAGGACTCAGGACCACCACAGAGCAGGTACTATTTGGGTGGTGGATCATTCTCAGCACTGACAATGATGTGGTGGTGGTGTGTTAGTGTGCATTGCGCTGGTCTGAGTAGATCAGACACAGCAGTGCTGCTGGAGTTTTTAAACACCTCAGCGTCAGTGCTGGACTGAGAATAGCCCACCAACCAAAAATATCCAGCCAACAGTGTTCTGTGATCACTGATGAAGGACTAGAGGATGACCAACACAAACTGTACCTCAGCAGATGAGCAACAAGGTGGACCAACAAGGTAGGAGTGTCTAATAGAGTGGACAGTGAGTGGGCACAATGTTAAAAAACTCCAGCAGCACTGCTGTGTCTGATCCACTCAGACCAGCGCAACACCAACTAACATGCCACCACCACGTCAGTGTCACTGCAAAGCTGAGAATGACGCGCCCACCCAAATAATACCTGCTCTGTGGTGGTCCTGTTGGGGTTCCTGACCATTGAAGAACAGTGTGAAAGGGGGCGAACAAAGTATCAGAGAAACAGATGGACTACAGTCTGTAACTGTAGAACTACAAAGTGCTCCTATATGGTCAGTGGAGCTGATAAAATGGACAATAAGTGTAGAAACAAAAAGGTGCTCTTAATGAAGTGGCCGGTGGGTGTGTTTCAGTTTGAACTATAGAGTGTTGTGAGGTTTTGGTAGAGGGAGCCTGAGATGAACCCAGAAGTACAGACAAGGAAAAGAGGCGAAGAGTATTCAAAGGGATGAACAATATATGCATGCTCTCCTCTCTGTGGTGCCTCTGAACTACAGCTTATTCTCCTTGGCTTTTCAATGGCCAGTTCAGAGCTCCGTACAGAGCTTTGTTTCTCAAAGATTCTGGAGAACTTGCGCTTTGTTCTTCCTCTGAACCCTTAGAAGCTGCGCTTTGCCAGCAATAACAAAAGTGTGATGTAATCTAATAGGAGCTATTTCTCACTCATGGCACACTGAAGTAAGTGGAGAAATTGTGAGGAAAGTGCAGATTCGAAACTTTCGCTCCAGACCACTTTTGTGGTCGTATATATGAGATGAGAAATTTTATTACGATTTGAATTTGATGCCAAGTTATTGTTTGTTATTGTTCTTATTTTGAAGAAAAACGTTTTGACATCAAAATAAATGTAAAAGAAGTCAAAATACAAAGTAAATGCAAAACATTATGTAACTAAGTGTGTAATTACAGTCCTGTGCAAAAGTTTGGGCACCCCCGGTCACATGAAATGCCTTGTTGATTTTCTAAGTGAAGATAAATGAACACATCCTATACAGAGAACACACCTCTGCACACTTTAATACACAATTAATGTTTATTTGCTGAATTTAACAATTATCGAAAAACAATGTGGTCTGTGCAAAAGTTATGGCACAAGAATATGTTAAACTCAGCAAATAATTAGAAAGTGTGTGCTAAAATTGAAAGAAAACAATTTGTATTTATTATTATTATGATTTTTTTTTCTTAAATATTTAAGTTTGTTCTCTGTTGAAGGTGTATTGACTTATTTTCTCTTAGAAAATCAACAAAACCTTATTTGAGCAGGCGTGTTCCAAACTTTGCGTACGACTGTATGTAATTACATTTACATACCTAGAAAAGCTAATTTCTTAAATAAAATGGTAAGTGATTTTGCAGCCTAAGCAGTTGCCAGACGGTTGCTAGGGGGCTGCCAAATG